TGAAGATTTAGTACAAGGTAATACATGAACTTGGTATTTTGAGAGCTTGAGGCCAATAGCCAAGAATTGCTATATCTAAGGTCTTGGCTATAAAACAATAGCCATGCTGTGAAGTCTGGAGCAGCTCCCATACCAGGGAGTAGAGGACAGTGAAATACCCCTAGGGGAAAAAAAAAAGAATGAAAGAAATACCTCTGGAGATTTTCTGAAATAGAGCAAGAATTTGAAAGAAGATGGAGATCTTGTACTAGCTAGTATAACATGGGAGTATTAAGATTAATATGATCCTATTTGAATTTACAGATTGGTGAGGCCTATGGAAGTCTGAGCTATGCAGAGAGAAGGAACCAAGGCCCAGAGAGGTGAAGAGTTTCATTCACACAACGTAGCAAGACAATACTGCTGGTAACTGAACTAAGAGCTCATTTGGCCATAAAAATCAACTGCGTGGTAAGAGGCTAGAAATGGAGCCACTGGAGAGAGGTCGCGCCATGAAACCAGGGCCCTGTGGACCGCCTGTGAACCCCCAAGGGGTGCCATCCTTAGTAAACCCCTACCTGTGGTGTGTTCGGCTCAGCCCTCTCTCAGAAAATCCAGGCAGCATTTCTAGAGCTTGAGAATGCCCTGGCCATCTAGCCATGAGCTCATAAGGGCCTTGGAACAGGGCCGTGGCTGTAAGCCCCACCCACTGTGGGCCCTCTGGGCCTTAGTGGCCTCTTCTCCTCTGAGGCTCAGCCTCCTTCTCTGGAGAGTTTTACCTTCTAACCTCCTGGCAGGTGGGAAGAAGGGGAAGGGGTACTGTGGTGACCCAGATATTTGTCAGAATCATCCTGACCAAAGAGGCTGGTGCCACTGCAGGAGGAAGTGGTAGGTGGTAAGGCTGGGCCAAGAGCAGCTGGTGGCAACCAGCAGCATCTGCATCAGCAAATCTTTGTGAATCTGAAGAGAGAACTTTTTCCTCATGGACACAAAAGAGGTTTTAGGGAAAGTCACCTCACAGGGGGATCTGATCATAAATCCCTAACTGGGCAGATCCTGGTGGGTAGTCACTCCCCAGGCCTATAATTTCTTTACTGAAAGGCTTATTTTTGCCTTAAGCCAGCCCTGTCCATTGTTTCTGTGCATCTAGGTTAACATACCTTTGAAATACCCCCTTTCAGATGCCCTCCTTCTAAAGTGGACCATCCTCAAGGGAGCAGATAATCTTAACTATCATGTAATCCAATCCTGGCCTTGCTTTCTCCCACCCTCAAGTAATCTCCTTAAGTTCTGTCCTTAATTTCAAATGCATAAAAGAAAATGCAAAACTGTCATTCTCTGGGAGGTTTGAGATCTTGCTTCTTGGCATATGTCATCAGTTTGGCTCAAGTAAAGTCTTATAAAAAAATTCTCTACAAGTTTGGACATTTCTTACGTCAACACCCTGGTTGATCCTGGGTTTGTAGGCAGTCAGGCCTGGTGAATTAGTGTGGGGGTGGGGAAGCCCCAGCCAGCTTTTTTTGCAGCCTTCTACCGCAGCCAGAGGCCCATTGGCCCCCGAGCACGCTCAGAGGCACCCTGCTGCCACACTCCTGCTTATTCAACGTTTTATTCCTATAAGAGCCACCAGAGAGAGAGGTCAGTTTGGAAGTAAGTGTGGATTGGGATTAGAGAGGCCACTGGGAATGGAGGTAGCCCTCTAAGTTATCACTGTTCCTTATTTGTAGACCTCATGATTTCTTTCTCATGACATCTACTTCTCTGCATGTCTGTACCATTCTCCTCTCCTCTCACTTGTAACTGGCCAGTCCTCTCTATATTCTCCAGTTTAATTTCCAGAAGGAACCAACTGATTGTTTACCTGCTACTAGTTTATTATTTAATTTTATATATTAAATAAATTCTGGCTCTGAGAATTCAGTCCTCTTCTTTTAACTTCTTCAGCCTTTCCCTTTTAGAGATACAATTTTTTGCTTCCAAGAGCCTAGGCCTTAGAATGCAAAAATGCATCTTAACTACTCTCAGAGGCAAGGGCAGCCCCAAGCATTCGCTCATTCAGTAAACATTTACTGACTAAATATTTACCTACTATGCTACAGACACTGTTTTAGGTACTAGGGATACAGGAGTAAATAACAACAACAAATAATAATACTGCTCGTTGGAGTTTACATTCTGGTGAAGATGGACAATAAACTGGATGAATAAATAAATTAAAAAGTATAAGCAGAAGTCTATAAGTGCTAAAGAGCAAAGGTCTAAGGTTGATGAGAGAATGAGCCATGAGGCTTTCTTGGGAAAGCCAAGCAAGAGAGCAGCAAGTGCAAAGGCCCTGAGGCAAAAGTGTGCTAGAATGATCAAAGAGTGTGGGTGGAAAGGAGTGAGCTAGATAGAGGGGGATGAGGTCAGAGAGATCATGAGATATCTGAAAGGTTAAGGCTTTATGGGGCACAGTGAGAACTTTGGTTTGTATTTTGAGTGAAATTGGGATCCAATGGAGGGTTTTGAGTAAGAAAGTAACACGATCTGACGTTTTTAAAGGATCCCTCTGGCTGCTGTACGAAGAATATAGACTGTAGGAGGGTAAAATTGGAAGCAGTTAGACTAGTTAGAGGACTGCCACAAAATCCTGGCACAAGATATTGGTGTCTTGACCATGGAATGAGCAGTGATAAAGATGAGAATTGGCTGGACACAAACTCCATTTACTCTCTTGAGTAGAGCAAGAGAAAATGATCTCATATTGTTTTCAGACGAATCTATAGAAAAAGATGACATAATTAAAATAATTTTTTCCTTAAAAAGGATGCTGAAGACTTGAGGCACCCAGGCCACTGGCATCTGCCTGAAGATGCACAGATTCTGTGTACTCTAGAACTTCCCAGTCTAGGATCTCATTTGCCATTTATCTGTGAGTTGATATGTTTGAGTCCATTTTTATGATCCTGTATGGAACAATCCATAACAAGTAGAGAGAACAAGTCATCCTGAAGAGAGCTGGCATCTGTTGTGTTCAGTCTATCGATGGCTAACTTTGTCCTGGGCATTGATTTCATGTCCAGTTAGCCATCACGTCACCGACAGGATCAGTTTCCTACTGTTAATTTGATGCAGCCAAGATATCGTCATACAGAAAGCACCTGCTGAAGCTGCGTTCCTCAGAAGGGACTACCAGTATGGCCAACGCTTCAAGTTTCATACACTCCTCTGTAGATACTTGGTCTATTTGAACACTGATGAAACATTTGGTCTCCATGAAGTATGGAGAGGCAGTGAGGCTCTTGAAAGCCATGCCAACGAGCTTGATCTTGATTTTGTATATACAGAAATGTATAAACCTTATTCTGTTTGGAATTTGGTCATGTGTCATTTTGGACTTTTTTTACACTCACACACATACATACACACATAATTTCAACTTCTATTTTTAACTTTTATATTTCGAAATGTAATTCACATACCATAAAAATCACAAATTTAAAGTGTACAATTTAGTGGTTTTAAATATATTCACAAAGTTGTGCAACCACCACCACTATCTAACTCCGGAGCATTTCTTCACCTCCCAAAAAAACCCCTACATGCATTAGCAGTCAATCCTCACTCCTACACTCACCAATCCTAACAACCCCCAATCTACTTTCTGTTTCTATAGATTTGCCTTTTCTGGACATTTCACTTAAATGGAGTCATAAAATATATGACATTTGATGCCTGATTCTTTAACTTAGCATAATGTTTTCAAGGTTTATCCATGTTTTAACATAGACCAGTATTTCATTCCTTTTTTTTTTTTTTTTTTTTTAGGATTACAAATGCTTTATTTAATAGACCAGCAGAAACCTATCAAAATTTAATGTTTATGATACATTAAGAACTTTGTCTTATGGTTCAAGAAGAAAAAAATCAAAACCAACCAATTAATCTATGAATAAAGGGACTTTGTGAAATCAATTTAATGGAATATGTCAAGTTCCAAATTCAAAAACCTTCTTTTACTCTAGTCACGCTTCATTCATTTTTATCGCTAAATCATATTCCATTGAATGGATTTATCACATTTTGTTTATCCATTCACATAGATATTTCTGTTGTTTCCAGTTTGGAGCTAATATGAATAATGCTGCCATGAGCATTTATGTATAAACTTTCTATAACTGTGTTTTCAATTCTTTTGGGTCTATACCTAGAAATTGGTGGGTGATATGGTAACTCTTCAACTTTTTTGAGAAACTGCCAAACTGTTTTCTACAGCAGCTGCACCGTTTTACATCTCCATGGCAAAGGGGTTCGACTTTGCCGCGTTCTCACCTGCACTTGTTATTTTCTTTCTTTTTTCCTTTTTTATTCTAGCCATCTTCATGAGTGTGAAGTGGTATCTTATTTGGGTTTTGATTTCCATTTCTCTAATGACTAATGATGCTGAGAATCTTTCCATGTGCTTGGTGGCCATTTACATATCATCTTTGGAGAAATATCTACATAAATTCTTTGCCTAGTTAAAAAATCGAGATGTCTTTTTACTGTTGAGTTACAAGAATTCTTGATATACTCTGGATACAAGTTCCGTATCAGATATATGATTTACAAATATTTTCTCTCATTCAATGGGTATTATATTTTCTTTTTTAGAATCGAAATGAGTTTGTAAATTCATTGTTCTCTAACTTGCTCTTTTTCTTTAATGGCATATCATAGGCATCTTTCAATGTTAAGAGAAAGCTATCCCATCATGGTTGTACCACAAATGTTTTGATCAGTCCTCTACCAAGCTTAAAAGAGTCTGAAGTTCGTGTGCTGGTGAAGGACTAACACACAGCAAGCAGCTCTTGGGCAAAAGAGGAAGTCATCCAGTTTCTCTGCTGTCTGCTCCAGGATGATGTGAAAATGCAAGCAGGCACAGGAAATCTCTAAACTGCTTATACTTCCTCTCTGAACCCCTGCGGTTTTACAACCCCTATAGGCAAAACCTTCCTTCACCCCCACCCAGTGTCATCAGTCTGGTGCCTCTGTGAGAAAAGTCACAGTGCAAGAGCCCCAGAGGCATAATCATTTCCGTCTTTCACCCTGTCCAGGTTGCCAGCAAATCCCAAGGGTCTTCCGAGACTAAGCCTGGGTCAGGTCCTGCCAGCTGCTTGAAAGATGAACTCCTGCAACATCTTAATGAGGCTGCTGCTGTCTGGGCCTTTTCTCTTTGGTAGGCAAAGGAGGTGGGGAGGCAGGGGACACGTGTCTGTGAACAGAAAAACAGCAAGGCTTAATGAAACAAGAGTAAAGGAGGAGCTGCTCTAAGGGTGGGACTGGCCTTAGGTAATGTGGGGCCCAGGAACCCCAGAGGGAGAAGGGGGTCCAAGAAAGAAAGAGTCCAAAGTATAGGCAAGGTATGGAGGAAAAGACAGAAGGCAGGCAAAGATGGCAACAGTGAGATTTGGGGGAGTAGGACCCTAAAAAAGGCAGATGGTTAATAGAGACCTAGAGCTGGGCTGGGTCTGGTCCTACCCATGGTGCTACTACTCTATGCCATCTTAGGCAAGTCCTTTCCCTTTTCTGGGCCTCAGTCTCTTCATCTGAACAAGTGGTGGGGCCTCATCTCGGACATCCTAGGATGCTGTGCAGGTAGCATGATGCCTGGAAGGAGAGCAAGGCCAGATAGGACAGTTTGGGCTTGTAGATGATGCCTAGGCTGCCTGAGGTGGGGGAGTCTGAGATCTAATGGTTAGGAAAAAGACGGGTCCATGTGAGGTGGGGAGTACGGGACCATTAGATGAGTAAGGAGGCAGCTTCACAGGAATCAGGTGATCTTGAAACTTAGCCCATGGGAAAAGCCTGAGGCTAATTATTTGAGTTCTCAGGGTGCCTGAGCCCCAGGTCCAGGGGAGAAGTGGGTATGTGGGAGATACACCCCGCCTTGGGGCAGCCCCATCTTTTCAAGGGGTCCCTCCCATCTGCTCCTCTCTCAAGGGCCTCCACCTTCTCATCCTTCCTTCTTTGCCGAGAGGACAAACAGGAAGTTGTGTCCTTTCCAGGCCCTGGGGCTGCCAGAGCTCTGGGTACGAGGGAGTCGCTGCTTCCATATTTCCCTGAGTCAAGGCCCTCAAGGGGAAGTCTAGGGAGGCAGATTACAACTTGCCTCGGGTGTGGGCAGCTGGGTCTTTGGGGGTCGGCTCCCCTCCTTGGGGCATGTGGGTGGTGGCCTATCAGCGCTCACGGCTCGGGGCGCTTGCTGGGTGAGAAGCAGCTGACTTGCCCTTTGTCTCCCTCAGCCCCAGCCTCTGGCTACAACCTGGACGTGTGTCATGTGCAGAGCTTGTCCATCCCACACGCTGGGAGACATTTTGGGTACCGTGTCCTGCAAGTTGGAAATGAGTAAGCTGATGCCTCAGGTCCTCCCTGCCCTGCAGACCCCTGGACGAGGTGCCCACACGCCAGCCCTGAGGCTGGCCAGTCAGTGCAACCCACAGGTTGCGAGGAGTCAATGGTGGGGTTTCTCCGAAAAAAGAGCAAGGCCATCAGATAGTAGGATAAGAACCATCCACCCATTAAAGCGCCACATAAGTGCCTAATAGAAAGTGAAACAATATCACAACCCAAAAACACTTGGCAGCACTTCCTAAGCTCCTGAGTCTTTCCCTGACTGGACAGTGAGCTCCTCCTTTAAGGCAGGAATTTTGTCTCTTCCCCCTTGATCCCCACTACATACTCCAGCCTACACATAATAACAATACCTTTTGAATTGATGACTGATTGAATGAACTTGTAACATTCTGGCATGTTATCTGGGCCTCAGTTTCTAGAATTCTGGCTTATTGGACTATTTATCTGGAAATCAATAGAGAAGAAACAGGTGGGGACCTGAAGGATAATGGCTGCATTGCTCTGAGATACCTGATGGGGATTGAAACACCCTTAATAGGTAGGAGTGGGTGGGTAAAGACCTGGGCAACTCCCACTCACAAGTGAGATTTCTCATCAGGGTTGTCGTGGGAGCTCCGGGTGAGGGGAGCAGCATGGGAAATCTCTACCAGTGCCAGCCAGGCACTGGACACTGTCTGCCAGTGAGCTTGAGTGGTGAGTAACTGGTGAGGGAGCTGGGAAGAATACTGTCTCTGGGAAATCAAGGATAGCCCCCCACACCTAGATTGCCTAAAGTCCTCTAGACAAATCTTATGGTACCTACAGGTTCAAACTACACCTCTAAGTACTTGGGAATGACCTTGGCGACAGACCCTGCAAGTGGAAGCCTTTTGGTAAGAATTTTGCATAGTGTGAAGCTCAAAGCTAGGAAAGAGAGAATGAAAAGAAGAAAAAAAATGGATTAAAGATCCTATAGAAGATTAAAGGCATCAGAGAGATTCAGATCCAATCATTGTTTATTACTGAGAACAAACTGAGCCAGCTATTTTCAAGACCTTACTTACCTCAGTTGTTTCCCCAAATATTAAATATCTGTAGCAACTGACATACAAGATGACTTTTGGTGGTACACAAACTAATTAATGTTTTAATAGTTACATATTTATTTAATGGATTATTAGAAAAAATACACAAGAAGCACATCAAATTCATAATTTCTTGGATCTCATTGTTTAGGATGAGGCTAAAGTTTTTTAAAAGTAAATTTAAAGTAAATAAATTATTAAGTGAAAAATAGTGTGGATGATATACCCACATGGCAGATATTGTGAGGTCGTACACAAAGTTTATGCCTAAATGCCTAAAGTTTAGGAAACACTGCTTTGTCTCTTTTAACCCTCAAGACACTCAGGTGAATTAAGGATCAGAATATACATTTTTCACATGAGGAAACAGGACCAAAAGGGTTAAGAGACTTGGCCAAGGTCACATGGTTTTAAAGAGATAGAGCCAGGATTTAAATCAAATTCTTATTTGATTCCAAGTCCATTGCTCTTTATAATTTATCCCAGCAGCAACCTTCTGATACAGTTAGGTGAGAAATAGAAGACTGAGTGAAATATTGATCCAGTATTTAATTATAGCTTGTTTACTTAGCTAGTATTACATGCCAGGTGCTGTGCTAGATTCTGATGGAGAAAGGGTAATGAGATACAAAAATGACTACGACATGAGCCCCAACTTTCAAGAAATTGCAGTCTAGCAGGAAAGATAGTCCTAAATGAAAGAAACACCATTGTATATTCTGGGAATAGTGAGTAATTTGATTTGGCTTAAACACAGAATGTTTGATTGGGAATGGAAAGTGGTGGGCTTGGAAATGGAGGATAGTGCCCAACTATAAACATCATGAATGCCAAACTAAGGAGTTTAGATTTTATCCTCTAGGCAGTAAGCATCCATTGGCATAGAGCATTGGCAGTAGGGATGGAGAGATTGGTATAAGAGACCTGGAGACAGAATTACCTGGGCTTGCTTGGTAACCAGTTGGATGTAGGGAGTGAGGTCAGGAGATAACTCTGAAGGTTTTTGTTCTTGGCTGATGATGCCCAAAAGACACCCAGCAAGAGGAAGCTGCAACCCTTTTATACTTGCTTCCTTCAGGCCTGTGACCCTGGGCTGTCTCGGACATGTGACCAGAATATCTATCTAAGTGGTCTGTGCTACCTCTTCCACCAGGATCTGAGGGGTCCTGTGCTGCAAGGGCGCCCTGGTTATCAGGGTAAGGAACTGGGGATCCAGTGGGCAAAAATACCTTCAAGTGGCTGCTCATACATGGGAACCAGCATGGGCAGGCCAACCATTAGAGACTTTACCAAGTCCCTTTGTGTCTGGCCTCTGCAGAATGTCTAAAGGGCAATGTAGACCTGGTATTTTTGTTCGATGGTTCAACGAGCTTGCAGCAAGATGAATTTCAGAAAATTCTGGACTTCATGAAGGATGTGATGAAGAAACTTAGCAATTCTTCCTACCAGGTAAATATATTAGTTAGGATTCCTGGTTGTAAGCAATAGATGCCCGCCCAAAGTAGCTTGAGGCATAAAAGGACAAGTTAGTCTAAGATGTCTCTAGAACCTAAGGGCATGGCTGTAGCTGGAACTCTGGAAGGGGCAAGAACCAGGGAATAGAAAATTTTCAGGATTTTCTCTGGTTCTTATTTGTTTCTTTTTGGCTTTTGCTTCCCCTCTCTCTCTAGAATGGCTCCCTTACCTTCTTTGGGTCACATGGACCTGTGCAAACCTCCTAAGTTTATATGTCAAAGCTTCAGGAGGGTTTTTTTTGTTCATTTGTTTTTTTAATCTTCCTCTCAACCAATTCTTCCCATTGTAAATTCCAGATTCTCAGAGAAGAAATTCTGACTGGTCTAGCCTCAGTCAAGTGACTGTCTTTGGCCCAGCCAACAGTATACTATTTAGCAGGGTCACGCAGCAGAAGTATGGCTACTGGGAGCCAACCCTTTTTGGGAGGTAGGCAGACCCAGAGAGCAGGAGCTTAGCAGACAGCACTACACAAGGGATCAGAGGCTTATTTAAATTTATTTCTGTGTTTGTTTATTTTCAAAAGAAAATAAACATGACTACGGCCATGCCACCCTGAACAAGCCCGATCCTGTCTGATCTCGGAAGCTAAGTAGGGTCAGGCCTGGTTAGTACTTGGATGGGAGACCACCTAGGAAGACCGGGTGCCTGTAGGCGTTAAAAAAAAAAAAAAAAGGAATAAAGGAATGTTTTGAGGCCAGGATGTGGAGGTGGGTTTCCCAGGCCCTAGATAAAAAGTAGAGATTGGAGCAGACAAGTGAGAAAAGATATGTAACATTTCGTTTCTTCCTTCTTTTTCTAGTTTGCTGCCGTTCAGTTTTCCACGACCTTCAAAACAGAATTTAATTTCTTGGATTACGTTAAACTGAAGAACCCCGATGTTCTGCTGGCCAAAGTAAAACACATGTGCCGGTTGACCAACACCTTTGGTGCCATCAACTATGTTGCGTGAGTTCCCTTTTGCAGGAGAAAGCCCATTCATCAGTTGTTCTCTACGCACTCGCTTTTTCAAGTTGGTGTGTAGAACTCAACAGGTGGGTTCATCAGGGACAAGCTATTGTAAGAATTCAAGCAGAGCAATTTTAGTCCTGGTTTTGGATTGTGAGTAACAGATATCCACTTTATACTAACTAAATCCCAAAGGAGAATTCTTGGGGGGCTGCGGGGATAGTTCATGAGCCTCTGAGACAGGGAAGCATTGCCGGGCCTCATGAGAAGCTAGAAGCAGGATTTGGAAAGTAATGGTGAACTACGGCAGCCACAGGAAAATCACTTCTTAAATGGAAATCAGCTTTGAAGTAAGTGTTCAAACGAAAATCTCAAATAGTCAGAATCATCCATGAAGAATTCCCTGAATTGTTCATAATATTCAATAAAATATATTCAAGTCCCACACTGAAAACAGCATATCTTGATTTCCTAAATGTACTATAGATATTTTTTCCCCCAGACTTGGATCAGATTGCTGTGTTTAAATTGAGGCCTAGATGAACATAGATTATTTTGAAGGATCATATCGTATATTTTTAAAAATACATGTCTTTGAACGTTAAATTGGCCACAGAAACTGAAACCAGTTTGCGGAATAAAAGAATTAAATCTACCTCATGTTCCCCCTTGGGTATACACTCAAGATAGGATCTCTACTACACTTATTTTTTTCATTTTCATTTCTTTACCAAGCATGTATAGTTGAATTTGCATAAGTTAAACATGCATGTGATGCATGTTCTCAAGGCTCTGCATGTGTTTCCAGCTTTTTTCTTCTGGGCTCACTTGACCTGTCATGTCTACTTCATTCTTCTCTCTCTGAAGGATGGGTTCATGGTCAAGCCATGTCCACTGGAAAAAAAAGGCAGCCTCAGTTCCTCAACCTGAATTCCAGCCTCCGGGAGAGAAAACGATTGGCCAAACCTCGGTTAGGTGTCCATGGGTCCACCCAGTTATAGCCTTGATGGCATAGAGGCACATGGCACAAACATGGATTCTGGGGTTCCATCTCCATAAGAAGGGGGCAGTTCTTAGAGAAAAGGATTACCACAGGATGGGAAGACATCCCAAAAAGTGTCAACTGTGAGAGCAAAAAGAAGCAGTCATGGAAATGTATTTCATAAATACTTCTTGACCATCTGGCTATGTGCCAGGCAGTGTTCCAGGTCAAGAGTTGACAAATATTTACCAAATGGTAAATATTTTAGGTTTTTCTGGCCACACACAGTATCTGTTACATATTCTTCTTTATTTGTTTTTGTAACCCTTTAAAAACAAAAATCTAAACCATTTTTAGCTCATGGACCATACAAAAAAGCTGTGGGCTAGGTGCTGAGATTATAGCAGCAAATAGAACAAAGGAAAATCTCTGCCTTCTTGGAGTTTAACATTCTAGTAGGGGAGAAAAATGCAATGAACAGGATAAATAAGTAAATTCAACGATACAGTAGAAGATATAAGTTTGATAGAGAAAAATAAAATGATGTTCAATAGGAAGGTCAGGGAAGGTTACATTTGAGCAAAGACTTATTGGAGGTGAGGAAGTGAGTCATGTGGAAACCCGGGGCAGACCATTCCAGGCAGCAGAAAGCAAAGTCCCCGAGATATGAATGTGCTTGGGATGTTCCAAGAATAGCCAGGGCACCAGTGAGGATGGAGAGAAGTTACTGAGGGGAAAAGTAGTGGGAGATGAGGTCAGAGGGACCAGGGGAGTCTGGATGACTTGGAGGCCATAGTGAGGACTTTAGTAAAATGAGAAGTCATTGGAGGTTTTGAGCAGAGGAGTGATAACCCGATTCATGTAAAAGGATCCCTCTGACTACAGGGTTGAATTAGACTGTGGAGGGGCAGGGATGGAAATAGCGAGGTCAATTAGGAGGCTATTGAAAAATCCAAATGAGAGATGACCGTGGTTCAGACCAGGTGGAAATTCATGAACAGGACCTATGATAGGCCATGTCCGTGTGGATGGAGGTTGGGGAAATATTTTGTATCCAAGATAGAACAAGAGGCCTCAACAAAACATGTTTTTGGCCCTGCCCAAAACCTCCTCTGTCTTTGGTAGCTTCCAGGTAGCTTTCCCACCCTCTTTTCTATCTCTCCTCCACCTCCCAGTGTGGCCCAGCTTCTGCTCTCAAGTCACGTCATGTCATAGTCAGGGGTTATAGATTGGCTGCTCTTGGATTAATTGTCCATCTCTGGTTAGCTGAGGGCTAAGGAGGGAAGGATCAAATAGTTCAAATAGAGCTGTTGTCCCAGCAAAAGCTGTGGGCAACCTGTCTTTCTTCAGAAGGAGACAGTGGACAGGACAGGAATTCGGAGTCTTAGCCTCTCTAGTATTCAGTCTTGTGTTCCTTTTTAAAAAAAAAAAAAATTTCACATACGCTGAGCACCTACTCTGTCAGGAGCCAGAGCTACAGCAGCAAATCAAACATGGTCTTTTCCTGGAAGAACTCATGGTTTGGGGAAAAATTGATACAGAAATAAGTTACTTCAATTCTATAGGAGACTAGCTGTGGCAGAGATCTATAGGCAGCCTGGGGATGGTAGGGGAGGTAGAGGAGGTGATATATGAGCTAGTTCTGCATGTGTGACTTTCCAGTTTTCTTTGGCCATAGAACCCATTTTTTCTATTTAAATCTCACCTAGAGCATCAGCATATCTGATTATAGGGTAATTGCAATGTGGTTGAAATGGAGGATGGGAAGGCCAGAGTTTCCCCTCACATAACCTCCCCCTTCCCACCTATGGACTCTAGGACACCTCCCAACTGCCCAGAATTCAGTTGAAGACCACTGGTCTAGGAGAGGTGTGGTAGCAAGGGCAAAGTAGGAGGTTCAGAAGAGAACTCAGAAGGCTGGGAATAGCTGCCTGGTGAATAATCATGAATAATCAACAGGGCACTGACTTAATGAGAGGGGTGAGGGGTAGAGAAGACCTCATATGATTTTGGAGGAGTCTCTCACATTTCCCCTTCCTGGACACAGGAACAATGTATTCCAACAAAACCTAGGGGCCCGACCAGATGCCACCAAAGTGCTCATCATCATCACTGATGGGGAAGCCACCGACCATGACAACATTGACGCAGCCAAAGACATCATCCGCTACATTATTGGGGTATGGGCCGCAGGCCCCAGGCCCCTGGCTCCTTTCTACATCGCATCTTCTCTCTCCTGTTCTTGAACCCCACTCTCCTTTCTCCCTACTCCCCTTTATCCTTGTAAAAATGGTAGAAAATTAGACTGTGATTCTGGGGATGTCAGAACTTCATTTTTTTCTCCCTCACAGGTTGGAAAGCATTTCCAGACCGAGAAAAGTCAGAAGACACTCCATGAATTTGCTTCAAAACCCGCAAAAGAGTTCGTAAAGATTCTGGATACATTTGAGAAACTTAAAGATCTATTCACTGAGCTGCAAAAGAAGATCTATGTTATTGAGGGTGAGTAGCAGACCCTGGAGGGAGCGTTGGGATGTCTATACAGAAACTCATCTGGGATGTTAGGTTAGAGACACACTGCATAATAATAGTAAGGAGCAATTACTAATTATCTGACACTGTGCTAAGAGCTCTCCTGAAAAAAGACCTTGGGTAGGAATTTAGGAGAAGGTGATTTAGGAGCAACTTCTATTCCCTCTGAAATTCCATCTTCCTCTTGAAGCTTAGCTTGGTCCAGGGTGGGGCCCAGAACTGACCTTTACCTTGCTAGTGTCAGTGGTCCCTGTAGAATGACTGTAATTCCTTCCTCTCCTCACTCAGCTTCTTCATTTTTACTTATCCTTGGCCTCAAATTACTTAAGATGGGTAAGCGGGCAAGGGCCAGTTATAAGGAACCCACTGGTCCTCTTCCTTGGCCCAGAATGAGAGGTTTTGATTGTGGTTACCAGATGGAGGAATAGCTATGGGAAGGTATTTCCACAGGAAGCCTCATCTGCTGGGGAATACATGGTTCTCACAGGGAAGGCCCCTTTGCTAGGACACAGCATTGGTGTTCAGTTCAGCACGTTGGTGGCATTTGGCCAGGCCCCCAGGTCTTGCCAGAATACCTCAGTCCTGAGTCCAGGAAGAGGGAATGTGGGAGTTCAAAAAACAGGGGGGTGTATATTGTGGAACCAGGTAGACCTGCTCAAGAATCCGTGCTGCCTGCGTTGTGTGACATCAGCTAGGTCATTGTTCTCTGTTAAATGGGGATAATAATACTAATCTCACAGGGCTGTAAGGTTTAACTGCTGTGTTAGTTTCCTAGGACTGATATAACCAAGTACCAAAACTTGGGTGGCTTAAAGCAACAGAAATTTATTCTGTCTTAGTTCTGGAGGCTAGAAGTGAGAAATCAAGAGGTCAACAAGGCCATGCTCTTTCTGATGGTTCTAGAAGAGAACCCTTCCTTGCCCCTTCTAGCTTATGGTGTTTGCTGGCAATCCTCGGTGTTTCTGGGCTTGTAGTACAGCACTGCAGTCACATGGCTAACTTCTCTCTGTGTGTCTTCACATCTTCTCTCTGTGCACATCTGTCTCTGTGTCCAAATTTTCCATTTTATGAGGACATTAGTTATATTGGATTGGGGACCACCCTAATGACCTCATTTTAACTTGATTACCTCTTAAAGACCCTATTTCCAAATAAGATCACATTCTGAAGTACTAGGGCTTAGGACTTCAACATCCCTTTTTTAGGGAACACAGTTCAACCCCTAAACAGCTTAGCAAAGTGTGTCATACCTTGTAGGCTCTCTCTAAATCATAGCTTTTATTATTTATAGCCCTTATCCTCTCTTCCAACCTGTCCTTAATCATCCTTCAGATCTTAGCTTAGATGTTACTTCCTCTGATAAGTTCTCACTGATTCCCAAGTCTAGATTAGGTGTTTCTTCCCATGTGCTGCTATAACTTCTGTATGTTCCCTGTCATAGCCCCTGTGACATACATGTATTCTAGTTGTCTATTCAGTGTCTGTTTCCCACACTGAACTCTGAGGTCTATCATGGCAAGCATTGTTCTTGCTTTTTCACCACTATATCCCTGGCACAATGGTGAAAAAGCAGTGAATGAACCAATATTCGTAATTACTGTTTTTTGAAAGCTTATATGTAACAGGTACTTTATCTGTATTATTTAATTCATTCCTCTCAGCATCCTTGCAAGGCTGGTAGTATTATTTTCATTTTTATTCATTCTTGCAACAATCATGTAGCAGGCTCTGAGAATTAGACTTTTAGGTATATTGCCAAAGTAGAGCTCATATTCAAGTTTGATAAAGACTATAAATAAGTGAACAAACAGGATAATTAAAGATTGAAATAACTGCTGTAAAGAAAATGAATAAAGTGATGAGACAGAATTAACCGAAGGAAGCCACTCTAGATAAACTTTTTCAAGGAAGATGCCTTTTTTCAGTTGAAGTAAAATTCACTGAGATGACTTTTGAGCTGAGATGTGAAAGATGAGAATCAAACAGCCATGTGAAGAATGTGGGCAAAAAGCATTCTGGTCAGAGAGATGACCAAGTGCAAAGGCCCAGAAATGGGGAAGGGCTTGGCACATTGGGAGAACAGAAAGAAAGATTAGTGGTAGAAGCATGGTGAGTAAGGGAGAGGGAAGGTTAGAGAGATAGGCAGGGGCATTCAGGGTCCTCACAGGACTTTGACATTTGGTCTAAACCGCAATGGGAAGTAATGAAGATTTCTTAAAAAATGGAAAAATGTGGTCTGATATACATTTTTAAAAAAGATTGCTCTGACCTGCTCCATGGATAATAAGGCACAGAAAGAAGAAGAGTAGAGTCAGAGACCAAATTAGTAAGTTACTATAGTAGCCAGGGAAGAGATGAGGCTGGCTTGCATCAGCGTAGTGGCTATACAGGCTGCTCAGATACATTTTGAAGGGAGAAGCATCATGATTTGGTGATGTCTTGGAGATGGAACCAGGAGAAAGGGAAGAATCAAGCTCTATTCCTGGATTTTTAGCATGATTCACTAGTGGGTGGAGGTACCACCCACTGAAGTGGAGAAGTCTGAGTAGGAACAGAAATCAAGAGCTGCATCTTAGATGTGCTGATTGGAGTTACCAGAGACCCAGTAACTGGGCTTGTGGAGTGTCGCTGAGACTCAGAGCATAAGCCACCTCCCAGTCTGTCTGACTCTAAAGTTCATGTTCTTTCTACCTTGCAAATGCTGTGCTTCTCTCTTAGTCCTTTTATGAATATCACTGTTTTTACTGCTCTTTGGGTCTTAGCCTGTTCTCCTCTACCTTGTCCTTCAGGCACAAACAAACAGGACCTGACATCCTTCAACATGGAGCTGTCCTCTAGTGGGATCAGCGCGGACCTCAGCAGAGTGAGTGGTGTGCCTGAGGCAGCGGGCCAAGGGATGGTATAGGAATGCAGCTGACCCCACTCATCTCCTTCCCTGGGCAGGGCCATGGCATGGTGGGGGCAGTTGGAGCCAAAGACTGGGCCGGGGGCTTTCTAGACCTGAAGGCGGACCTGCAAGATGACATATTTGTTGGGAATGAACCACTGACAACAGAAGTGAGAGCAGGATATTTGGGTGAGTACTTATATTTTATGCTAGGTTTTTTTGGTTTTAGGGGCCAGAGCATCGTCACTCAAACCAACTTTCAAAAATATAAATGAAAGTAATTAAGCAACTAGCATAAACAAACTCAGAGCTTAAATATGATTGTAACATTCTTAACTTTTCCTTTAATAACCCCTCGCCTGTGTATTAATCATGTATGTATTTTCTGCATTTCATGAGGCCTTGATATCTTGAGGCCTTGCTAATCCTGGAGAGACTGCCCATCCCAGGGCCAACTCATTCCAACAGAAAGTAAATAACTTGCCTGTGAGTGGACCTTGCATAGGCCAACCAGCCAATCCAGAGCCTTGATCCCCAATGGCCTCCTCTATCTAACTTTCACACACCAAGCCAATATTCCCCCTGACCTAAGCCACCCCAGGGCCAAATACTAGACAACTAAAGATCACCCCAGAGCCTGCCAACATTTTTCAAACTGTTCAATCCTAAGCTTGCTTAAGCTTGCCTACTCTGCCTCACTCATTCCTTCTCTCAGAAATCACAATAAAGTCTCTGGGCCACTGTCGCCTCATTCCTGCCTGGTGCTTCCCCCCTGTGGCCCTGCATGGCTTGTCTGCCTCCTGCTTTGGGGAGCTGTGAGTAATAAACTTCTTTCAATGGCAGTGACCTCTCTGTTGTCACTTAGTCATACCTCTAAATTAAATTCTGGGTACATTTTAAAACAACCTGCCTCATTAGTAGGAGGACTAGCTGCTTCTCATTGAGGCATCCTACTTTTGAATTGTCCAGGAACTCCAGGGTTGATTCAGTTTCCAGAGTTCTTCAGATTCCAAGCGCAGAGAAAGTGAGTGGTCAGTCCACAATTGCTGTTGCAGTTCTATAGCTGCCTGTCCACCCGAGTTGATGGCAGTCTCAGGCTGTGGAGGGGTCTTACTCTTATGCTCAGAGGTTATAGCTCTTTTAATTCATGTAGTCAGCCTGTTCCAAGGCAAAAACTGGCTCCAAGAGCTCTGGTGTAGGACTGCTTCCAGGCTCTACCTTCTCATAGATTGAGAACCACCACCCTCCCCCTGCCTCATCCAGGACCTCTGTCTAGGGGCAGGCCATGCCTTTATTAAACTCTCAGAACACTCAGACCTTATGAAGTTCTTTCTTTGAGAAAATTGGTGCTATTTATCTTGCACCTACCCTTCTAAGGGAGGCTGACTTCAGCAATTTGTTTTTTTCTTTTTCGATATTTTTCCCTGAGCAAGTATTATGTGCTAGGCACTGTTCTAAGTGTATGACATGTATTAACAAACCTTATTTCACTTTGTCCTCACAACAACACTGTGAGTAAATATTTCCATTCTCTATTTTACAGATGAAGAAACTGAGCCCAGGGAAGTTCAAATAACTTGCCTAGTAGGTGGAGCCCAGGTAGTCTAGCCCCAAAGTCAATGCCAGTAACCCCTATATGTATGCTGCAGGACCTACACCACTGCCTTCAAGGTAGCTTTTTGTCCTTCAGCATCCTACAAAATACCTGACAATGTTGCTCACTAAAGGGGAAAAATAACTCCAAAGTTTTATCTCTAATTAGGTACTCACCACACCATATATATATATATATAATCTTAAGTGCCTACTATGCTACTATCCTTCAGATACTAGTTTAGATATCACTAGCATAGTGCCAAGCATTTTATATCCATGATCTTATTTACTGCTCAAAACCACCCTGTAAGGTTGGTACTATCCCCATTTTTTTCAGTTGAGAAAGCTGAGATTCAGAGGATTAAAGCAATTTATTCAAGATTACACAGCTAGGGAGCAGTAACCCTAGGAGTAAAGCTTTATCTCTGATTTCAAAGGGCATGTTCTTAATCCTTGTGCTTCAGCAATATACATGAACAAATAGGAGAGTGGTTCAGACTCTTCCTCCCATGTGCTGTAGAGTCTCAGACATCTCTGCCTTTCTCACTCACTTTCGATTGCTCTAAGCAGAGAATTGTCAGTCACCTTCTGAATCAGAGCCTTCCTATTGGGTGGCTCCTGGCTCTAGCCCAACCCCTGGTTGTCTCCTTTAGCATTTCCTCACACATTTCACCAAAGCTGTAATAGAGAGGAGAGACCCTTGCCAGAGGAGGTGTGAAGTGTGAAGATATAGCCTGAAGCTATATCTTTAAGTGGGGAAATTTTTTTCAAGTCTCCTGCTTTATCTTTAATATTTGTGCAGACTTTGCATTCTTCTTACTAATATATCCATTTTATTTTATTATCTTTTAAGAAGTGTAGTCTCTTAACAACCCTCAGGAAGATGTACCATGTTTGCCCTGTGGTGCCTGGCTGCTTTTCCTTGGTGTGTGTTGTCCATGGTTTGAGAAATGCAGCCATGAATCAGGATAGTAGGATTTGTACTGCTCAGAGCACATGACTGCTTTTCTCAGGAGATCTTCTGGCTGTTTCAATGCATCTTTGCTACCAACCCAGTTTCCCAGGGTCTCTGTTCCAAGCCTCCCATGGGTTTTACCTTCTTCCAGCAGTCATTGTGTTTCTAATTCTAAGCCCCCCACTCTTCCTCAGGTTACACGGTGACCTGGCTACCCTCCCGAGGGCCCACATCGATGCTGGCAGCTGGAGCCCCTCGATACCAGCATGTGGGTCGGGTACTGTTGTTCCAAGAGTCAAAAGGCAAAGGACAGTGGAGCCAGATCCAGAAAATAGATGGAATCCAGGTAAGCATGGCCCATGGGCATCTGCAGGCTTGTATGACACTAGTTATACTCTCTGTTGCCCTCCAAACACTCATCCACTTGCTGTGTGCCAAGCACTGTCACGTTTGTTCCTCACAAAACCCTCTGAGGTAAGCTTTGTTATCTCCACTTGCCAGTTAAAGAAACTGAACCTCAAATTGCCCAACTTGTCTCAATTTGTACAGGCTCTAAGTGGGATCTAGGACTTGAACTTTCATTTGAGGGATTGGGTATGGTTGAGGGGCCCATGGTCTCCTCTCCAAACATCTTCCTCTCCCTGCAGATTGGCTCTTATTTTGGTGGTGAGCTGTGTGGCATTGACATGGACCAAGATGGGGAGACGGAGCTGCTGCTGATTGGAGCTCCCCTATTCTATGGGGAGCAGAGAGGAGGCCGGGTGTTTATCTATCAGAAAAAACAGGTGGGGACCAGGTCATAGGGCCAAGGGGGCGGGAGAAACTGCTCAAGTACGAGTTATTCTGCAAGCTTTCCCTATCTGATCATGTGCTAATCAGACCTTTAGAACCACAGAAAAACAATAGCTAATACTCACTGGCACAGTAGACTGTGCGAAAGGCCTTTTATGTATCTGAAACCTCATTTGATCCTCACTATCACTTCACAAGGTACTACGAGCTTCATCTTACAAATGGGAACACTGTAGCTCAGCAAGGCTAGGGAACTTTCCAAAGCTACAAGTTCACAAATAGCAAGAGGTGGAACTGGGACTTGAACCCAGGTTAGTCTGATGGCAGCATTCTAATTCTGTGAGGGACCACATCTGACATTTCGTTAGTGTTCTTCACATATACAAATGCCTCACCCTGTGAAAGCTTGCTGAGTGATTGAGGTGTGACTTTTCACCTTGCTCCTTACCAGCTGGGATTTGAAGCAGTCTCAGAACTGCAGGGAGATCCTGGCTACCCCCTTGGACGATTTGGAGCAGCCATCACTGCCCTGGCAGACATCAATGGGGATAGGCTGATGGACGTGGCTGTGGGAGCCCCTCTGGAGGAACAGGGGGCTGTATACATCTTCAATGGGTGGCATGGCAGGCTGAGCCCCCGGCCAAGTCAGGTGAGGTACCCTTCGTGCCAGTTAAAACCCATTCCCGGGTGTCTGGAAGCCTCTAAGTCCAGACCCCACTCCCCAGCCTGACCTTTCCCGCCCTCCAGCCAGTTCTCTTCCCAGCTTAGCATGAATTTCTTTCTTGGTCTCAGCGGATAGAAGGAACCCAAGTGTTCCCAGGAATTCGATGGTTTGGACGCTCCATCCATGGGGTGAAGGACCTTGGAGGGGACGGCCTAACAGATGTGGCTGTGGGGGCTGAGGGTCACGTGATCGTGCTGAGGTAAGACGGGGCTCCTGAGTCCCACCTAGTAATTTCAGCTCTCATCCTTTGAATAGTTACTGTGTACAGGCGTTGTACGAAATTCTTACAGGCATTAGATCATTTGGTCTTCCCTCCAACTCAGTGAGATAGGTTCTCTTTTTATACAGGCTTCATGTCTTACCCCAGGTTGAACAGCTGCTATTCAGTGACAGACTGGGATATGAACTTAGGCCTACCTGACATTAAAACTTCCTAGAGAAGCAACATCATGTGATGGCTTTAGAACCTAGTGACCTGGATTCAAGCTGAAGCTCTGTCATTTACTTCTCACGTGATCTTACCCCAGTCGCTTAGCTTTTCAGGACTTCAATCTCCATATCTTTGAAATGGTGATGGCGTCTCATGTCTTACCCATATCTTAGTTATTGGAGGCGTCATGTAACATCATATAGTGAATAGGTATTTACTAAGTACCTACTATGTCTTAAATGCTGAATGAGGCATTGGGTACAGAGTATATGTGTGGGGAAACATATAACAAAAAATTAAACAAATAAAGATGTAATTACAAATTGTGATAAGTGCTATGAGGGAAATGAACAGGGTACTGTGAGAGAGAATACCAGGGAAGACCTACTATAAATCGAGTGATCAAGACAGCCTTCTCTGAGGAGATGATATTTGAGCTAGGACTTGAAAGATGAGAAAGAGCCAGGCTTGCAGAAATCTGGGGTAAGAGTTTTCTGTGTAGAAAACCCAGGATGCACCAAAGCCATAAGGCAGGCAAAAGTCTGATGTGGCTGGACCATGGTCAGTCAAAGGAGAGTAGGAGATGAGACTAGAAAGGCAGGCCGTATGACACGGATAGTAAAAAGTTAGGATTTTATTGTGAATATCATATGGCATCAGAGAAGGGTTAAAGCATGGAAGTAGCTCAATATGATTTCTCTTTTTAAAGCTCACTCTCTGTATGGAAAATGGGTCAGAAGTTGCTGGAATGAACTAGGGAGGCTTAATGAATGATCATTATTACTATTGTGAGAAAACAGTGATGTTGAGGTTTGCTCCAGAGAAAGAGAACCCTTCTGGGCTCTGAGGGATGGCACTCCAGGTCTGATTGGGAATTATTGCAGTTGAGGCCAAGGGAGAGCATGGGTTGTTTTCTGCCCTGCAGATCCCGGCCTGTGGTGGATATCGTCACTCTGATGTCCTTCTACCCAGCTGAGATCCCTGTGCATGAAGTAGAGTGCTCCTATCCAACCAGCAACAAGAAGAAGAAAGGAGTTAATGTCACAGTTTGTTTTCAGGTCAAGTCTCTCACCCCCCAGTTCCAAGGTCAGTGCTGTCTTCCTGCTCCCCAGTGCAGCTGCCTGTTCCAATCCAGGCTTATGGCCCCTAGATCCTCCACCATTCACCTCCTGCCTGTTCACCTTGCCTAGGGCTCCTGATTGCCAACCTCACTTACACTCTGCAGCTGGATGGCCATCGGACCAGAAGCCGGGGGTTGTTTCCAGGAGGTAGACATGAACTCAGCGGGAACACACTTGTCACCTCAAATGAGTCCTGCACTAAGTTCTGGTTCCACTTCCCGGTAAGGGACCCAGGGAGGCTGCTTCAGGAATTGAAAGGACAGATGAGCTGATCCAGTGAGAGCAAGCACTGGGTGCAAGGCTTAACTCTGGGTCACAGCTGAGTCACAAATCACTTTGATCTCTCTATACTGCTAGTCCTTAATCTATGTACATAGGCATTTCTCACATGATTATGATTTGAAGTACTTACCATTTTTTCCTACTGTTTTCGTACATCACATATTAATGTTGCTACCCAGCTTTCATAATTATTTGTAAGGGTTACAGAATACTCAGTCATAGAGGTGTGTCCTTTGCCAGGTGCACATGGTCATTTATTATTCACATCCATCCAGAAAAAGATTTTTTTTAAATATTGGTTTAAACAACTCCTAAAACACCCAAATTCAGTTTGCTATCACGGTCCTATGTAAAATAGGGCCGACATTAAATTTCCGTGGTTTCTTAAATATTTTATAAGAGACTCAGTATATGATTGGTGTATAGGATCTTGAAGTTGGTTTTATATTTTTTATTATGGGAAATTTCAGACATACAAAAGTAGAAAAATAGTTGAATGAACCTCCAAATAATTATCCCAATTTCAGCAGTTATCACCTCAATTTATTTCATTTATACTTCAACTCAGTGCCCCTTTGACTCTTTGTGCCATGCTTCATTACAGGGCTTGGAAATTTTAAACATAAATTTACCAGGGGGGTGAAGGGGGAATATTTACCAGAGAAGAGGTACTGTGTTGTGATGGAAAGACTTTAGACTTGGGAGTTGGACAGATTTGAGTTCACTTCCTAGTTCTAGTCCTTAGAAAAACTGTGTCACCTTTTTAGACCTTATTTTCCTCTTCTTTAATGTGGCAATAACAGTGCCTACCTCTTTGGGTCGGTAGAAACTTCAGGTGAGTGCAATTTGAGTTCTCGCAAAATGCCAGAGTCGGGCACTAGTAATAACATAAAAGACTAAGACCCATCCCTGTTCTCAAGGGACTAGGGTATTCTAGAATAGTCTTGTCTTTTGCACACTTTGGTAGTAGTTGCTTAGAGCAACTTAGTTTGACAAAGATCCAAGGGCTTCTGTCAGGACTCGGTGGGAAAATGTGCTGTGGTAGATTCGCGCTATCTGCTGTGGAATTGAGGCTGAGGAATGACACCTGTGCTGGGAAGCAACCCTGATATGTAATAAATATTTTTCTGCTACTGGTAAGACAACCAACTACTAGAATCCTATCTTTTGTAAAACGTGGACAAGGTATGTAACTGGAATGTGGTAAAGGTTAAACTCATGATATAGGGTGTGTTCTTGTCACCCTCAGGTATGCGTCCAAGACCTCATCTCTCCCATCAATGTCTCCTTAAATTTCTCTCTCTGGGAGGAAGAAGGGACACCGAGGAACCAAAGGGAGGTAAGGAGAGATCAACTGAAGGAATTGATAGGAAATAGAGGGGAGTAGAAATTCAATTTAGCAAGACTATATTATATAGGAGTCTTTTGTTTAAAGCAATAGAAACCAAATATGGCTTACTTAAGGAGGAAAGGAATTTATGGATGTTTATATTTAAGAGAAATTTGGGAAAAGCAAGATTGGGAAGAGAGGGAACAGAGTGGAGGCTCTGGAGCTTCTCTGGGGGAAGGGGTTTGGGTGGACTCTTCAGGGCACATGGCCCCTTCAGTGAGTCTGCTCCAAGTCTCTCCTGTGCATTAGCTTCAGCCCTCACCAGACTCCTACACTGCTCAATATGTAGATTCCAGGGAGAGAACTTCAGAAGACCTAGGACCATCTGTTATTTATGGAAAGACAGGGCACCCTACCTGATTAGCCTTCTCACTCAAGAGTATTCAGTTGAGTGCAAAGCCAAATTGGGGTGCTATTATTACATAAAAGGTGGAAAACAATATCTACTCTGGTTTCTCAGACCACATACTGCCCACTCACTGCTGAAATCATGATTTCCTCTTCTGAAATCCTTGTCACTCAGTTGATAGTTTGGCTTTTGGCTGAGGGCAGCAGGTCTGGTGGAAAGAACCTAGGCCTGGCACAAGCATGACCGAGTCCTATTCCTCTCGGGGACTGTTTCCCCACCTATAAGAGGCCTTTTCCAGAGCTGGAGCATGGTGACTGCTAAATGCACACTTTCTCATGGCTTTCGGCAGTATGCGGCAAGCGCACGCCCCAACGCATGCTCAGTCTCCTGAGATTGGGAAAGAACAATGATGTGCTTACCCAAATGTAAAGCCCTGCCCACCAGATGCTCATCATGTACCGAAGGAGAGTTGATTGAGCTCCTGCCTGTGCTAAGGCCTATTCTGGGCACTGGCTCTACTGGAGTAAATAAAACATGGTCCCTACCCATGAAGGGTTCACAGTCTGCTCTGGACATCAGAAAAGTCAACAGACAGTTACAGGATGCTGTGACACAGCTATGGGAAAGTCAGCAACATCTTTTGCCACATAAATGGGAAACAAGGAAAGCTTTCCCACAAGCTGTGACCCTGAAAGTCCGCAGGTGAAGAAGGAGAGGAGAGCATTTAGAAAGAAAGCATAGTGTGAGCACAGGCATAAAGATGCCCGAGCATTTAGAAAGAAAGCATAGTGTGAGCACAGGCATAAAGATGCCCGAGGTGGTGGGGGGATGGGAGCACAAAGCAGGAGAGAGGGTGGAAGAAGAGCAGCCTCTTCCCTTTAAGAAAATTTCCAGAACATCCACATGATACTTTCACTTACATCTCATTGGTCAGAACTTAGTCCCATGGTCACACCTAATTACAAGAGAGCCTGAGAAACATTGTCTTCTGCCCATGTAGCCATATGACCAGATTTAAAAATGGAGGCTGTATTTTAAAGGCAGAAGATGAGGAAGGTGAGGAAGGATATATGGGGACAAACAGCTATCAGAACTAAATTTTAAAAAGCCAAACTGTGTGATGTAGGAACTCAAATAAAAAAGAGACCTGAAATCACAGTTGTCAAAAAAGGCTTCCTGCGGGAAGTGTCATTGGCTCTGGATGGGTAGACTGGGTAGGTGGAGAGAGAAGAGGTGAAGGATACCGCATGAGGAAAGGTATGGTGGTAAGTTCAAGGGAGATGGGAGGTGGGCTTGGCTTCTGGCATGACAACTGTGCAAGACAGAGGTCCAGTATGCCTATCTGGGGGCCGGCTGTGGTCCAGTGGGTGGTGCGAATCTGTATGAATGTTGAGGTTGGACAAGCAGTCAGTAGAGGCTGCCAGGAACCCTGCCCCTTAAGGAAGGGTCTAAAGGCTGCTTGGCAGTTGACCTGGAAGCAGAGGAGGCTGGAATCTCTCTAGAA